TGTCCATCATTACAGTACTGGAGAGAAATTCTAATAACGAGATAGAATGAAAGCAAATAAGTGTGTTGAATATAGCAGCTTCTCGTATAGATACTTAAGAATGTTTACCTATGGATATTCGGTGGATAAATGAGAATCCTGCTTAATATTGTGTGCAGGAGTTGCTCATCAACATGAGCAAATGTTTTGCTGACTGCCAGGGAGTGGATAGTATGGCATGGTCTGGGAAAGATCAGTGAGCTGCAGCCAATGTGCCGGGCAGGCACGGAAAGACGAGTGTTGGATGCGTGGAGGAAAAGGCATGTGGTGCATCTTATTGTGGGAAAGGCAAGCCTTGCTGATAGGAAAAGCCACATGGTCAAACCTTACAGTTCACCTGAACCATGTAAACAACTGCCTTCGTTCCACGGTCTGAGAGCTGAGCCCAAAGAGCACAAGCACAAATAATCTGAGCGGCAAATCCAGGTACGCTGTGTATTTCTGTTGTTTGCTTTGCAGTTGCACCTCTTTCCCCTGACGTTGGTTCAGTGTTTTTGCTTTGGTAACCTTTGTGCTCACCTTTTGAGCTTTCAGAGATCTGAGGGAAACTGATTGCAGAGTAACATGTGAATTATTCCTTCACGAGAAAGGAATTTTCTTTGTGTAGTATGTCTCTTCTAAAGGCTTTTCAGGGGAAACAGACTGATTCAGGTATGAGTACATGTGAGATTCAGGATACTGGCCCACATGCACTTTGAAGGATTGACTTAGGCCTTCGAACCTGCTACAAGTATATGACATCTTTTAGTATTGTTACACCAGTTTCTCAACAACTGCCGTAAATTCTTGTCTGTGATATGTCAGAGGTATCTGACAGACTGCCACTGCTAAATTATTCAAGGCAGGTCCCTACACTGGCCATTCTTTCTGTTCAGTGATACTGTGAACATGTTACCCCCAGCTGTGAAAACTGGGGGAAAAGCAAACTCAACTGCCTACAGGTAACCTGAAGGGATTGGCTCTTTCTTCAGGAATTCTCTCGCCATGTCCTGTTAAGCTTATTAACATGATCTTAGAGATAATCTTTTGGGAGGTACTAAATGTGTGTAGATGCAATGGAATACAAATCACCCCTTTTATAGAAGGGTAGATGAGTCGTAATTGTAGTATTAAGCTCACCTTTCTGCCTGCAAAGGACCAAACTAGCCTTCCCCTGCCCACTCTTTCCCAATTTGGGATATCCAGGATTATAATTCAGATATTAGGGGGTTTTGGTGCATATGGTGATAGCATTTTATTAATCACCTCACCCAGGAGCACAAAAATGGTGTGTAGTATGCTCATTTGACAGGAGAGTCTAATAGGAATTGCGGGATAACCAGCAAGTAGAAGAGTGCTGGATGTGATTAACTGCTTTTGCAAGGGATTTAGAGCACAGAAGTTTGAGAAAGGCATTTTTGCTGCTATACTCTAGTTATAAAATCTCTTTCCAATTCTCCTGTATTAAAAGAAATAAATTCTGATGAAGAAGTAGCTTAATATATCCTTAACTTTAAGAGTGTTTGACAGTTCTATGCTGATTTTCTCATAATGGCATTTTGCCATGAGAGCCGGGAGAACTGTGCTAAAAGTCAGGCTAGAGAAAATTAAGAAAATGGGATCTGAATGTAAAACTCCATTGGCAGGTTTCAGGCCTGGAAATGTTTTTTAATCTAGAATTTAGCATGTGAGGAAGAGAGAAACTTTTCTTCCAACCAGAGCCACTCTGGTCTGTACCTCTCCAGCTTGATGGACTAGAGAAGAAAGCATGGTTACAGCAATTTTAGATGGCCTCTTAGACTTTGCACTGAGAATTGACTTTTTGGCTTTTCTGGTTTTAATGGTGACTTTTTAAAACTGAAGATAAGGTATTGCCCCAACAAAGCAGTCCACTCCATGGGAACTGTTGATTCTGGATTGCCAAAACCTGTATCACAAGTGTTTTTGTAATCTTAAGGTTTGAACCAGGAGTATTGTCTGCTTTCCTACAGAGTTTAGGGTGAATTTGAGTTCTCCAAAGTTCAAAACTCCAACAACTGGAATTAGAGACTCTTAATTTCTTCTTCTTTTGTGTTTCTTAATTTATGAGTTTTAAAAGGTAGAGGGATTTAAGGATATTTATTTTTGTTTTGTTATTGTTGCTGTTGAGCCTGCAAGTAAACATTCAAAGACCTGTGTCTACAGTTCTGAATTATCACTCAGGGTAAGGAAGACCTCAGCTGAATTCCATATGCACATTACTTATCAGTTTTTGAATACTGAGGATTAATTACCTACCACTTGCCTTTGTGTTTTATATAATAGACTCTAGTTTATATGATAGACTGATGCATCCTTCTTAAAACAAGAAGCTAAGGAAAAGAAAAAAAACATCTCTCAGATTAAAGAGGGAAAAGAGGTATGTGTCACCCTGGATTCACGCTTCAGACTTCTGCAGCGCTCTTGTAGATATGGGCAGGAGTCTAAACCACAAAAAACTTGAACAGAATTTTACCTTGATGACTCCCCCAAGGATTGTTCAAGCTATGAGTCAGGGCAAAGAACACTGATTGAAATGCAGGATGCCATCTCACTCTTCCCTATTTTCACATGTTTCTCCTCTGAGGTTGCTCTGGTTTCTGTAAGTGACCTGTGTTTTAGTGAAACTGAGGATAAAAACAAAAATAAAAGTGGAAGAGAGATGGTGACTGTTTTACGTTAAGAATCAAACTTTGGAGGGAGAACATAGCTGAGAATAAAAGTGTGAGGGGCTGGAGCTCATTTCACTCACTGTATAGTGCCTTCAACAAGTTAAGGATGAAAATGCTTTTAACTCTCAGGATAAGGCTGTAAGTCAGCTAAACCCTCATGTTTGTGATCTAATAGGCTTTGGCTGTAAGCCAGATGTTCCACACAGAAGGTGGTCTTTCTGCAAGGCCCAAATTTGTCCTTTAGCAGCTGGATGCAACCTGCCAGGCACTGGTGACATGGTGTGAGTGAGGGGCCAGTGTGATGATGCAGAACAAATGAGTCCATCAGACTGCTGGGTTTGTTTTTTCTAAAGGACAGTCGCTTTAATGTGTGCTCAGTTTCCCATTATGTAGCCTAAAAGATTGAAGCCATGTAATCAAAATATTATCTTAATTACACTAATTACAGACCCTTATACTGAGAGAAATCTCAGGATATTTCTAATGTGAGCAGCTAATTAAGGTCTAGTAGAATAATGACAACTTAATTGCTTATGTTTGTGTGGAGGTGTCAATTTAGAAACAAAGTTGTATGTAACCTGCTATAATATGGTAAAAATAGTCGTATTCCTAAGTGCACTTAAGATAAAAGTGCATGTTTTGATTTGGTTTTTTATTGTCTACCAGCAAAAGAAATGTCTTTAACTTATGGTCCTTTATTGAGAACTACATTTGACATACCATCCTTCTAGATTGATCTGGTTACTTGTTTTGTAAAATAGAATAAATAAGTTTAGCTATGTAATATTACAGATGTATTCTATTCATTTGTCACTTGAAAAGCTACTTTTCACTTTCAAGTTTTGGCTAAAGAACCAATTTTGAAACCTTGAGGAGGCAATCATTCGAGACAGACCTCTGACAACTTGTGGTCACTTTTTGCCCTTGGGAATTGACTTTCACACATCAAGTCTTTTGAGTGTAAAGTTTGTTAATAAAATGTTTTCTTTATGCCATGTATACACAAACATGTAGAGATTCAATATAAACCTTGTTGGGAAAGGCATACCAAAAGAAATAGGTGATAAGGAGATAGGACTTGTATTTCTCTCAGACCTTTGCCTTTGGCTTCATGTGCTGATCAGGGACAAGTTTCCTAAAGTGTAGGAGATGCTGCTGGGTCATCTGCTGGGATCACTTGAGGCATCAAGCCCAAAGATCCTGTTCTTGCTCTTACAAAGGCAGAATTAATCACAGGCAACATCGAAATTTCACGTAAGTTTAAAGGAGGAAAAACTTTTATTTTGTTATAATTTAATTGTTGTTTAGTTCCCAGCTGCTTCCAAATGTTCCAGCCTTGGCTGGGCTCCCTGGGCACCATCTCGGGATTCTCAAGGGCAGTGTCTGGCTGGACCTCCAGGGTGGCCCTCTCCTTCTTCTCTGCAGCCTTGCAGCAGGGGTTTGAAAGCATGTATTGAATGCCTGCTTTTATCTTTGGGAGAGCATGCTGGAGGCAGCCAGGGAGGGGGAGACCACTGCTGACTAAACTTGGGTAACCTCTGCTAAAAGGGGCTGCATTACTTTGGAACAAAAGTTTACCCTGTGCCCTCAGCTGCTCAGTAATCCTTGACCTTAAAAAGAAAAAAAAAATAAATTAAAAAGCTTAAAAGCTATGCTGTGAATTCATCTGTTTTCTGGGAAACTTAATAAGATAAATAAGGTACAGCCAAAGGCCTCTCCTGTCGCAGACTGAGAATATTGCTTATCCAGCTCTGCTTTCATCTTGTCTCTGGGTGAGATTCTATCAATTTCCATGATGAAGTTGTTTAACAAAACAATTTTGATCATTGGAAATTGATGCTTACCACTACACTGTTTTATCTGTGCAGTTCTCACAGATTAGTGCAAACCTTGAGAATACAATGCAGCAGCATTTGGGTGCTGTATACGTAGGTGAAAATCAGCTACTGAAATCATAAAATCCTAGAATGGTTTGAGTTGAAAGGAACCTTTAAAGGTCATCTAGTCCAAACTCCCTGCAGTGAGCAAGGACATCTTGCACTTGCCCAGGTTGCTCAGAGTCCTGTCCAATCTGACCTCGAATGTTACCAGGGATGGGACATCCACAAATTCTCTGGGCAACTTGTTCCAGTGTTTTACCACTCTCATTGCAAAAAAATAACTTCCTTATAATTGATCTAAATTGATCCTCCTTCAATTTTAAAACCATTATCCCTTGTTCTGTACAACAGACCCTGCTAAAAAGTTTGCCCCTGTCTTTTTTATAGGACACCTGCAAGTAGTGGAAAGCCACCATAAGGTCTCCTTGGAGCCTTCTCTTCTCCAGGCTGAACAACCTCAACTTTCTCAGCCTTTTGTCATAGGAGAGGTGCTACATCCCTACGAGGTACTAATCTCTAGAATTGTTGAGCATTGGTGACTGGGTTTCCCTTTAAAGGGACATAGCCCTGAAAATTACAGATAAATATGACAGGTAAATACTGGTATCTCTTTTGTGTAGGGAGGAAGCCAGGAGCAAAAGTGTTTTTAAATGATTTCCTAAATTATATTTCAAGGAGGTCCATGTTCTATCTGTTTCATAAACAAGTTACCCCCATTTGTTATTGTGAGATTCCTGTCCACTCATAATTTCTGAACTAATTTTAGCAGACAGCAGATGTTTTGGAAAAAACATTCACTATCAAGCCCAGCTTGGCATACAAACTTGCAGGCCAGTAACAGTAGATGATGAAGCCTTTCAATATCTGTTTGATGACTCAGGACAATTAGTCATGACATGAAAGGGGGGGAATTGTCATCATAAGGAGCTCTGCTCTTCCCAAAACTTCAGTCCCAGTTAGCTCTGCTAGCACAGGAATACTCTATTGAATACTGCAACTTCCAGGAGTGAGCACTGTTTTTTTTCCCTGCATCTTGAGTGGATTCTGTTGTATTTCTGACCTTGCAGTTGAACCAAGCTACCATCACTGATTGCAGCATTCCTTTTGAAAGACTTGAGAGCCTATTTTCAGGTTCGGTTTCGTGTCTCTAAGACCAAGTCTTATTGAGAGTCGTATACTCCACACTGAGAACAATTTAAAGCTCAGTCCCTAACTTCAGCTTAATCCTTAACATCATCTTCCTCCCTTGTCATTGTCTCCATGTGTGATTTCTCCCTTTCTTCCTACAACACCTTTTATTACTCTCCAAGATCAGGACTGTCTTAAGGGAAAACTGTAGTAATTATTCTTTGGTTTCTTAGACTAACCAGCAATAAAAGCAAAAGCTGTGAGCTGGCTATTTTCAGGCTTGATTAGATTTCAAACATGAGATCTTTTTTAGAATAGCAGCTGGAGGAAACAATAGGAGCTGCAGAGGTAAAGGAACAAATTGTTCTCATAACGTACTTAAAAGCAGGGTGCGAGTGCCTATGAATGTAAATGCAAACAAAGCCCTGCAGCCTTCTTTTACAATGTCTACATCAAGTCTTCTTTCTGAGATTGATTTATACATAAATAGAGAGACTCAGAATAGTTGAAAAAGGCAATCTTGTCAAGTGTGAAACTTACCTCTCTACATAGCAGTGTTTTTATTTTAGGACTTCATTGGTTTTAGTATTCACAGAAACAGTTTACTCTCCTCCAGCGTCTTCCTAGATGATAAAGTGAAAGTAAAATTATCAGTGGATAGAACTTCAGGTGTAAAGGGCCTCAAATTGACTTGGATGCTGGCTTGAAATTCAGTCTTTCATCGCACAGCTCAAGTTGTCTTGGTAGTATAATGGTTCCATTGAAGTTGCATCCTTGGTTGTAACTGGCACTTGCAGTTGTCACTCATGTACTCAGCTTTTCATCGTAGAAATGCAGTAGAATATTTTGGGAGCAGTTTGATGCTCATCTCCTCATTTTATTGAAGTGGCATTTTTTCCATGACTGAAACAAATGTGAGGAATGTAAAGAGTAGAGTCATTAACTGAGCGTGTTCATGCCACCCTATAGCTTCATTTACCTTATACATTCTTCTATTATGATTTGATGTGTCTGTGTGGTACAGATGATATATGCCTGTATCTTGGTCTGACAACAAGGTTTCTTAAGGAACAGGTCATCAGGAAGCAATTAGCTATGATGGTTCTTACAGCCTCAACCTTATTACTGTTCAGATCTGAAGGACTGCAGAAGAGAGCTGTGATCTGAGACAGCTTCTTTGTAGGCTGGATCCAGGACATGACCCATGAGTATGTATTTTGTACAACAAATGGGAAAATTATTTCTGAGCCGTGTAGGATATTGTAGTGGCCTGCTGGGCCTCCATCTGTGATCCGTGGGCTACATTCTGTGGAGTGCTGCTGAAGCAAAACAGACAGTGTGACATTTTTAGTTAGCATTGCAGGTAATCTGAAACCTGGGTTCAAACTGCAGTAAATAAAAGATTAAATACTGAGCCCTTAATAGAGATAGATAGGACACAACTGGTTTTATTCCACTTAAAATGTGCCTTTCTCAATAGCATTTCAGTGAAAGGCTCAGCACTGCTGGCAATATGCTGTGATACCATGTCTCTCTGGCAAGCTTTTTTCTTAATACTCCAAATTTGTAATTATGACAGCTGAAATTATTAATCCAATTTAATTTGGTCTCTTTTAAGTCACTGGAGATTTATTAATTGCATGCCCTCACACTTGTCTAATTTAAAAGTTACAGATAACTGAGTACTTCTGTGTTTATGGTCTCTAATAGCTGCGTGATGTCAGTTCTCACATTCTGTAAAATTTTAATAAAGGAATTTAGGATGAAGTTTGTTATTAAGTGTTAGATGGATCCTACTATTAATATCGGTATTAAGTTACTTTTGCCAAGAGCATCAAAGTCAACAAACCTGAAAAGAACACAGGGAAATGACTAAGAGTTATCATGGAGCTGTCGAAAACAAATTATGTCAAAACAATTTAATTTCCTTCTTGAATCCTCCCCGGGGTAATAGGTCTTGTGGTTAGAAAAGAGATGGTAGATGTCATGTACCCTGATTTTGTTAAGGCTTTGTTCACTGTCCTGTATTACAGTCTCATAACCAGATGTAGGAAAAATAATTTGGAAGAAATTAATGAGGAGGGTGCAAGGCTGTTTTGAAAATTGTATTTAGAGCCCTGTCAGCAATCAACTGTCAAAATGAAAGAAAAGAACTGACTGGGATTCTTCAAGGACCTGCCTAGGCTCTAATACACCTCAACATATTTATTAACAACCTGGATGATGGAACAGCATGTGTGTTATTAGATTTGAACCTAGGATGGACTGCAAGAATGACAGAAGACAAGGTTCAAATTGAAGATGATCTCTACAAAATGGACAAACGGGCTGTAACAAGTAAGATGCCTTCTAGGAGGGAGGAATGTCTTTGTAGAAAAAGGGATGATCAACTGCACAGCGTGATCTTGGGGGTGGGTGGGTGGGGACTGTGTTTCACAAGCTGAGAGGTAAGGTAAGTTGATGTAGGGCAAGCACACATCCCTACTGGTGCTTACTGAGAGTTGCATGTTGTCTGTTCAGCACTACTAGGATCCTGAAATGCAGCAAGATTTCAATTGAACATGAGGAAAAACACTTTTGCCACGTGGATATTGTGCACTAAAACAGATGTCCTGCACAAGTTAGGGAAGCCAGCAAGAGATTTGATAAGTAGGAAGAAGAAGGGGCTGGAGTGTTGGTAGAGGTGCCAACAGGTGGGAGGATGGAGTTCATGAGGATACCATCAGAAGTGACTTGTGTAGAGATGTTTTCTGTCCTGATCTCCTGCACATTTCTTGCAACTCCAAGGAAAACCTAGAAAAATCAGTTATCTGGATCAGGGCAAGGCTCATCACGCTGTCCATTAATCACTAGCTAGAAGAAACTTATGCCACAACTGCCCCAAATATATGTTCTACTGCAGCCTGCTGGTCATGGTGCTTCCCAAGGCTGGAGCCTTGGAAGGATCATCCAAGGCTGTGTAGGAAATACCATATGGAGACAGTTCATACATTTCATGGTGACTGTAGTACAGTTACAAAAAGTGTCTGAAGAAATTCCCTAGAATGAATCAAGTAATGTTTTAATGGCTTGTTGTTAATGCAGTGAAAACATAACTGGAGATTCAAGCATTAAAAAGTTGAATTTGTGGCAAATTAGGTATCAGTTCTGTAGTCAGATATCTGATGAAACAGGGATTTTATCTCCTTAATTATAAATTAAACATTAATATTACTAGAACATCTAGTATCTTTAAACAATATACAAGGCCAATATATTAACATTTGAGTTTTCTTTGCTTATTGAAAGTGCAGTCTATTTTACAGTAACTTTTTATTGCATTATTAGAACAAAGCAAACCACATGTATTTTCCATAAAAATGTAATTGTAATTATCCTTAGGGAAAAAAAAATCCAACAAAACACATGTAAAACTAGGTTTATGTTTTCTGAGCTCAGCTCTTGTCTTTGAAGTTGCCTTTGGTTGTAGAGCTACATTTACTAGTGTTCTGGTGATAGTGGGAGACAGTATACCCCACCACCACTTTAATGCAAATTATAAGAAAAAAGAAACATCCCCTTCTTTCTCAAGTTCAGAACGTCTCCCAGTCTTAACAGCAAATCTCCACATTGGTTTGGCTGTGTTCACCTTTGAGCTGGTGTCTGGATTGGGTTTTAGCTCTCCTAGAACACAAATAATTCTTGATGACTTCAGGAATGGCAGAAGAAAACCAAACAATGCACTTGACAAGATGAAGATGCAGAATAATATGATCTTCACTAAAAGTCAAAGTAACAAGCGGAGTATCTTCAGTCTCACAGTTGAGTGTTTTAATAGTTATGGAAAAGGAGAAAAGAATGGCAATGCGATTTTTTTCTTTTGGTTTAGCAGTGGGTAGATTAGGATTTTAGGATTACTGTACTAATTTAAGATAGAAATAAAAGCATTTTTTTGTAAGCTCTTGAGCGAGTTCTGACATACGGGTCTCAAGAAAAGAGTGTAGAAAGCTAACTTGTGAAGTTTCATGTATGTATTTATTTATCATGAAAGTTAAGTATATGAATTAATCAAGATCCACAGTTATTTTGAACAGTAGTAAAAGCTGTTTAATATATCATATTAAGGCCTATCAAAACATGAAACCCTTTTTTAAAAGTACAAGTAATTGCCTCCCTTTCTAATACATTGCAGGCATAGGTTTCAGCAGCACACTGTGACTGATGCAAAAGCTAAAAAACTGCAAATACTAGAGAGAAACAGAGCATTTTTCACCACTTGAAGTCTCTTATCTTTTCCCATTGGTTCTGTGGATAAGCAGCATGCCATGAACTTTTCTGGACAGGGGTAGGTGGAGACCTGTTACAAGCATGGTACCAGGTAAGCATTGGCAGCTTCCTG